GTAGAGTAGCGGGATACAAAGTCCACACTCAAAAATCAATAGCCTCCTTGTACACTAATAACAGACTCGCTGAGAGAGAAATTAGGGAAATAATTCCTTTCACAATAACATCCAAAAAATATATATATATAGGAATCAATCTAACAAAAGAGACAAAAAACAACTACACTGAACATTACAGCACTCTGAAAAAAAGAGAAGAGGATATAAGAAGATGGAAAGTCATCCCTTGTTTCCTGGGTAGGAAGAATCAACATAGTGAAAATGGCCATACTTCCAAAACTGCTACACAGATTCAATGAAATTCCAATTGAAATCCCGACAGTATATTTCACAGAACTTGAGAAAACAATCTGAAAATTTATTTGGACTATCTAGGCAACAGAGACATGGCAGCGGGTATCACAATTCCCAACTTGAAACTATACTAAAAAGCCCCTGTGATAAAACAGCAAGGTACTGGTAAAGAAACAGACCTGAGGATCAGTAGAATAGATTAGAAGATGCAGAAACCACACCAGACACACTCAACCACCTCATCCTTGACAAAGTTGCCAACTATCCTCACTGGAGGAAAGATAGCCTCTTCAATAAATAGTGTTGGAAAAACTGGCTTTCAACTTGCCGAAGATTAAAAGTAGATCACTATCTTTCACCATGCACTAAACTAAAATCCAAGTGCATTAAAGATCTAAATATCAAAATAGAAACATTAAACTTACTGGAAAGTAAATTAGGTAGTACTCTTATAACCCAGGTTTTCCTCTTTGGGAATGGCACTCGGTTAAAAGAAAAAGAAGACAATTATTCAGAGTCAAGAGGTAGCATCACTTGAATTTCAACAAAGTTCTTTCTGATATCCTTTAGTTTTTGTTCATTGAACACTTTCTTTAGCCAAGCATTTTCCTATAACCTCTAGATTCCATATTTTATAGTATTTGATCTCAAGAAACAGGCTTGACATCTATGGCAAACAAGACAGTAAAGGTAAATTCTGGAAGATGTAGGTAAAGAAACTTGAGAAGATCAAGCAAAAATTAGTAGTTTTCAAAATTTTTGACCTTTAAATTTCTAATATGTGAATTAGAGGAAGATGTATCTGCTTAGAGCTTGATAACTTCTTCCCAGAATAAGAATTTTGTTTTAGTTCTTTGCAGCTTTGTTCACGTTTAGTATAATTGAAATTGCCCATACTTAATTAAATGTCAAAGCTGTCATATAATTATTTTATGAATAACTATACTTGCTTTCTTCTGTTTTAATCACCCTATCACTTTCTTGAACATTGATGACTATCTTAAAATGTTCACTCATAGTCTTCATATAATTTCACAATTTTAACCAGAAATAAATATTTTAATGTTGAAACTAATTCCTCATAATAAAATATTTCCTAAATACTTTTTTCTTAATATGATGTTTCATTATATAGAGTACAGAAATTTACTTCTTTCCAGAGTCCCTAGTATGCCTGTTGTTAACAGGAAGTGGTGAGAGATGTATCCATAATCAAATAATTCTTCAATACACTATATTTGAAAATATGTAGACTTTGGGATATTTGCAAGTTAGGGGTTATATAAAAAAAAACTATCATTTAAACTTTTTCATCATATGAAAAAGTTAAAATATAAATTATGTGAGAATTAAAATCTAAAATTCAAGCATTTTCATTTGTGAATTACATGTATATGTTGATATACATGTGTATAATATAATAAACAAATTAGGAATACTTTTCCAACTTAACATATTATCAGAAACATGTTAGCACAAGAAGATTCACTCAAAATGCCCTGTGAGAAGTCTAATTTTGGAGGCAGAATGTTTCCTATTCCAACGCATTACTTGTCTATTAGCTCAGATGACTGAGCCAGGCAACAAAGCTGATGAAGGTATATGGTTTCAATTTCTGGGTAGGCCAGTTAGCATTACTCTGTTTCATGGCCGCATGAAGGGACTAAATGACTTAGAAAGAAAATATAAATGCATTAGTGTGAATTTACCTCTCTGTAGGATGGGGAAAAAATACCCACAGCACAAGACCTAGGTGTGTGTCAATACCTAGGTGTGTGTGGCATTAATGTCAGGGTGAAAAGAAATGAGAAGAGGAAAATTCTTGACCCTTCAAATACCAAAATTAAGTGCTAGATAGGTTTCATTTCCACAATGAAATATAACAACCTGCCTTTTTTTATAGTTACAATTGAAGGGCTCATGCTTATTACCTGCCTGAAATTATTGTAAGCCTGGTGGGAAGCATTTGAGGAGGTTTAGTCATGTTTTCATTTTACTAGGAAATCATTTAGCAAATTACCTCTGTTCTCTAAATTACTATGCTGCATAGCTTTCATAATGGAGAAACTATTTCCTCTTTCCATAAAAACTGCAAATAAAAAGGTTTATAATATATAACTTGTATTTAAAACAAACCAATTCCTCAAATTTACAGAATGTGATACAGGATTTCTCAGTGGAAATAAAAACAGGTATGTTTTATTACTAATATTAAACAATGACATTCTCCAGTGAAGTCAGAGAAAATGCTGTCCATTTAGGTAAATGTATGCAGGCTTCTAAGAATGAAATAACAAACTAAGTGCTTATGTTTGGAAGAAAAAGGTGTTTAAGCTTAAATTTTCAATCTTAAAAAGACCCTAAAAATTAGTAATCAACCTAAATAGAACTGCATTTTGGAAAAAAAAAATTTTATTATGCCTAATCTTGTTGAGGATGTCAATCTGAAGGAAAGTATCTCAGTTGTTTTAATTTTGCATTGAAGTAAGAGTCTCAAATATAATTTAGGGAAATGTAGCCTTAACTCCATAACTATTATTAGTAGAGGGTCAACTTCAAATAACAAAGGACTAATTCCTCTGGCCTTTTCCAGGAGTACTTTGATAATGGAACACAAAACTAGCTAATATCATGTCAGTTGTCAACAAGACAGAAGAGCAGAGGCAGAAGAAACAATTCCTTAGAAAATGACGTCCCATTTCAATACTCCCTTTCATAAATGAAGGGTTTGGAAACAAAATACAATGACTGATTTTTTTCACAAAGACTTGTGACTAGTAAGTACATCCCCCCCAAAGTTAAAGATTGTTATGACCAATAAACAAAATGTTTCGTGAGAAAAAGGTCTAAAAATAACAATCAAAATAGGTAAATTTTGAAATGATGGCTCCTAGATCTATTGGAACTAGATTTAAGTACCTGATATTTGAATTTATAGCTGAACAGAGTTGTGGCAAATGAGAAAATGATTTAGAAAAATGACATAAATGTGGTTTCAAAGTAACAAATAAAAGGCTTGAGAAAAAGGTTAGAAGTTATGTTTCTTGAAAATGAGTAGACTAAAGCAATTTTTATCATTTTCTTCCAGCCTTTTTCTACCAATGATCCTCCTGTAAGCCACAGAATAAGAAAATTCTTTAAGTGACAATTTTTTTCAGTCCTCCTATGAGTGTGCATAACTACTAGTTTTCTGATACACCAGAGTGAAATAAATTTATTACATACAAGCATATGTATCTTAGGCCACCAGGGCTTAATTTAATGGAGGTTCATAAAAAATGGAGTACCTAGTGGACCATTAACTAATGTTGGCAAGATATCTAGAATCTAAAAAAAAAAAGCTTTTCAAAAGCAGGAGATGTATAAATAAGATAAAGGTGAATTTCCTAAAGATAAGTTAATTAGCATTATAATAGATGATTAAGGAAAATTGTGCGACTTCCTTCTTCCAAGTTTTGAAATTTGGATTTACTTTGAAACTGGACAAAATATAGGGGGATGGGAGGAGGCCTCTGAGGCAGAGTTTTTGTCCCAATCTTAAAAATGCAAGTGTTTGGTTCTCTCAGTGTGGTACTTTTCAAATGGCAAACATGAGGAAGTTCTGAGACTGGAAAGGGAAAGAAGCAGGCATGATAACAAAGCTAAGAGACAGCAGCCAGAGATCCATTTCTTCTCTGAAGAAATCACCTCACAACAAATAGAAACATTCACCTACTGGGGGTGGGGTCAGGCAAAGGGACTTGACATTGATTCAGAGAAAGCTGATGCTGAAAGAATCAGACACTTTGTGTCTTAGGTTCTTTAGAAATATCTTTTGTTAAGTTCTAATATTACATATTTGCTTCTAACAGGTATTGATTTTGAATATAAAAAATTTTAATAACAAAATTATTGATCTAAATATAATTAATTGTTATGCAGAACTACAGAGATATTGGAAACAAACTAAATATTTATAAGGTAGATTCAGTGGAAATTTTATTGTTTTATTCTTTAAAGGCATTCTGGTTTCTTATGTCCATAGGAAAAGTCCAGGTCCTTAAAGTTTTATTAGTTAAATTGTGTCCACTTGAAGTCCTACTATGCACTGTTGCCCATCGTAATTGCTTGTTCGTTACTCCAATCCATTTTATGGTTCTGGAATTGTTCATAAAGTTATCTATTGACTTTTTACATTTAAACTATCAATTACATTTTTCTAATGATAATTTAAGAAGTATTTGGACAAGGCATATACTGTGTATATAATCCGCTTTCTCTGGCAACTTATTATTAATGTAAAAGTCCATACTGATCTTTGCTTATACAGGAACATCACATGGATTCTATGAAACTGCAAGTGAACAATGAAGAACAAACTTGGTCCTTTATTTTTTAATTTTACTTATTTATTTTTGGAGGGTACCAGGGAGTGAACTCAGGACCTTGTGCTTGCGAGACATGGGTGGTGACACTGAGCTAAATCCCCAGCCCTAAACTTAGTCTTTTTAAAGAGTAATAGATTTAATATTTGAGTGTGAATATCTCATATATATATATATATATATATATATATATATATGAGATAAATATTTTATTTACAGATGTTTTTAACGTAATGAAGTTGAAATTGGAACAGTTGAATTAGGATAATGCTTGAAAGTGAGTACATGAATAAAACTTTTCTTGGCTTCTTCTAACTCTTTTTTTTTTTCCATTTACAGCTATTGAAGAAGAAGAAAATGAATCTGTGCCCCTTTCCTTAAGCCCAGACATATCCTTAAATAAGTCACAGTTAGATAACTGCCCAAGGGACTCTGGTTGTTATATCTCATCAGAAAATTCAGATAATGGCAAAGAAGATCTGGAGTCAGAAAATCTGCCTGACATGGTACAGAAGATTACTATCACAGAGTCAAGTGACTGAATGCACATTCTCAACTATATATCTACAGCCGTATTCCACTTTAACTCTTCTTATGCTTCACGATCAACTGGAAGAGGCAGAAAGATATTTGTAAATATAACTCAAAGTTAAAACAGTTTAATCTGAAAGATTGTACATAAAAGTTTATATCTCAAACTTTCCTAGTTATTATAAATAACATGTATATTTATTTCAAATACTATGTTAATATTTCATTTATCTCTTTAGAAAAACCTACAATGTAAGGCTTTGATACATATGACATATGCTTTATTTGGCTTACTTTACAAGTTCAAAATGATGAAATCTGAGGGGGGAAAAAAGCATTTTTTGTACCTTCTAGTATTGTCTCTGTATATTATTGAATCAGTTGTCCAAGGCATATCTTATTCTCACTTTTGTATTTATTAAGAAATTGTGAGTTACTGTTGGGAATATTTTATCCTGATCCATAGTGGCTTTAGTAATTCTTTTTGCTTATTTCTTTACTATGTCATCTGATGTAGAATACAGATGATTCATCATCACTCTTGATTTAGTAAAACTACTTTAAAAATTATGTAGTTGTTTTGTGTTCAAATGTAGATATGTTTAAAATATGACATACCCTGATGTTAATAATAAATAGAATTATATGCATGTTTTATCTTCCAGTCCTATATTATCTAAGATATTTTAATATTAGACTTAAAAGGAAAATTCTTCCTATCAAATAAGGTGATATATTTGGTCTTCAGTTTTTTAATATTAATGATTCCAAAATCAATTATGTCAGCCTTAATCAATGTATTTAACCTCATACATGTGTCATCTAACTTCAGCACACTCAGAAAACATCAACTTGACATACTCAAATCATTGATTTTCTCTAGAAAATTGTCTCTTTATTTCCAATCACTACTTAATGATAAAGCACAGTCATCAAAGTAGAAAGTCATTTTTGTCTTTACATCTCATGTATCATTCCTATATAAATCCAATAAGTAATCAAGTCTTACAGATCCAACTCTGGAAATAGTTTCATATTTATGACTTCTTACCAATTCTGATGGTACTCTGACTCTTTGTAGTTTCATGTTCTTATATGTGGGAAATTACAGTATCTTTCCAACCAATCTCCTACCTTCTGACCCACCCTCCACACACAGGGCCACCAGAAAAACCTAACATGTAAATAAAAGCAAAAAAACTCCCTACTTAAAGTTTTTTGTTTTTGGTACTGGGGATCGAACTCGGATCCTTGCACTTGCAAGACAGGTAGCGGAACCACTGAGCTAAATCCCCAGCCCCACTACTTAAAGTTTTTTATTGCCTCTCATTTATCTTTAGTATAATATCTAAACATTCTTCCATGATGTGTAAAGTTTTTCTCAACAAATTTTACCTACTTTATGAGACATATCTTTGCCCTCATTTCTCAGTCTAAACTCCACCCATAACAACCCATTTTCATTTTTCCAAATTTACTATTCCTTTCATGACTTTTGATATGCTTTTTTTTTCTGGAATGTTTCCAGACATTTTTGACATTGGAAGATTCCTTCTGTTCTCTGTCTCAAAACTATTACAAAAGTTAACCCAAGGAAACCTTCCATAATTCCAATTGGTACTTTCTTGTGTTCTGGTTGCAACACGTAAGTTATTGATGATAGCAATTCTTTCATGATATTTTGTCTATGTCCATAATAACTGCCCTTCCAAGACTGTGACCTCCTTGTGACAGAAATTATTTTATTTAGTCTTTTTAATCCCTAGTGTCTAACAAGTTCTGGCACCAATTGGGCATTTAGGAAAGGTTTGCTAGAGTGCACTAATAGGTTGATTATTTCCCACAAAATAGATTTCATCTTTAAATTTAAATCAATCTACCCAAACTATAGGAAATACTTTCCAAAGTGATCTAAAACTTTCTTTTTACAAAAACTAAACAATAAATTAGGGAAAACAGGAAGCATAAGGTATTATAGTAAATACTGGAAGACAACATTACAGAAACAATATATATAATCTTTTTGCAGATGCATGAGATTTAATCCCATATGCAATGGTCAAGTCAGGCAGAAAGCACATGTCTACCTCTATCCTCCCCAATCACAGTAGGAAATAGTATTTCAATTTTAAACATTAAAAATGTTATTTCATCATTGCCCCACTCCTGGTGTGGCTACCATTTCCAACAGGTTATTATAGAGCCTCCTTAAACAAAGCACAAATACTAACCATAATTTAAATGAAAAAGAATTAATTTTTATTCAATATATTCTCAGTTTGATCAAGAAGATTGAATGTCTTTATGGAGATGCCAGGAAAATGTGAGTTGTAAAGAATCTAAGGAACAACTTGACAACACTGGAAATCGCTCATGAAGTACACAGCTACAACTTCAATACCTTGAACATGCTACCGGGTCCAGCATTTAAGCAAATACTTTTGAGTAAAAGAGCTGCAGAGGCCTTAAGCGGAATGATGAAAGGCATGGGGATGGGGTACACTGGATTCCTACAAAGAGGGAGAAACAGAGGGAAGCAGAGTTGCCCTGACACAAAGGCATTCAAATAACTAGGAAAAAGATCCCACTTTGAAGTGCTACACAGTGCAAAACATATGCATAGTAAAAGTACAACCCCAGGGTGAGGGAGTACTGCCGCTTTTTCTTTACCTATCAAATCCCTGATGAGCGGGAGAGTATTAACAGAAAGAAAATAGGATTCTTCTTGACCATGGAAAGCTGAATAAAGAGAAGTGGGAAGTATACAAATAGTTCATCTAGGGCTTTGAGGAAGTTGATGGACTTAGAGCTTTTGGTGCTTTTTTTTCCTAGAAGAGAGACATAGGGCTGAATCTTTTATGAGCAGACAAGAAAATACTTAGAAGCTTGACGTTTTAATATTCATAGGATGATATTATTATCTTTTAGTTTTGGGGCTGAAATCTGGTAGATTCCAAACTTCACCCATTTCTATATTTACTTAATGATATTTAGATATGACACATATATACTGCCCAAAACAATGTTAATAAAGATCTCTTAGACCAGATAATCTACTTAGAATAATAATGGATCCTCCCTATTGTTGTTAGTTGAAATTTTTGGGTGTATAAACAGGTGTTAATCCTTTCAAGGATACAATGTTTGTCTAATCATAGAGGTTTCTGGTATTTGCAAATTCAAGTACATTCTGATAATATACAGGATTGGAGAATCTTTATTCCCTGTAAATGAATAAAATATCACAATACTTTTTTGATAAATACAAAATTTAGATCAATTAAATTCTAGTGTCCCTTCTAGTTGATCGCCAATTAAAACATGAACATATTTTCATTTTGAAGTATTTTCTTAGAGACTTTTTTAAGTCTTCTAAAGGTATTAGTTAAAAAACGAAGCACTTTAAGAATTTCTGAAATGATAGGCAGCTTAAACTTACTACATTTCAGACAACATCTAATTCACTGAGGTTACAGTCAAGTGCCTTGCAACTTCCTGAGTGAGACCAAATTGATGACATTTTATGTTGAGAAACTTCCGTTACAAGTGTAATTTCTGAGAAAAATAATATGAAGAAATTTTAGAGATTCCCTCCCCCCACACACACCTGTTTTCTCTACTACCATCAAAGAGAACTGCTAATTAATTAGCATGCAGGCTTTAAAGTACTCTTTCACAATGTGAGAGGTCATGCTAAAATTTTATATAAAGATTGGAAGAAAAATAAGTAAGAACTAAATATAGGCATGTAGAATAGCAGTGTCTAAATTTTACTAGGGTTTTTGGCTATGGAAATAAGATAGCAGTAACCCTTATTTTGTGCTATGTTCTATTTTACCAGTGGAATTTTCTGATCACACTCAGTGTTTACCTAAATACCTACATACCGTCATGAAGTTGGACCACTTTCTTCAAGAATTGTGTAACTTTGAACAGGTCACTGGTCCTCTAAAGTTAGCCTTTTTCTCTTTCCTTATTTTACCAAATGATTTTCATTAAATGGAATAATTTATTGAACATATTCAACATAATGTTTTTGTATATGTAAAATAACCACTACCATCTTTAAACCCACAACTTAATTTTTACTTACTGTTGTTTGAATATAAAATGAAAGCAGTGTGTTTTCTACCAATATGCAGGCACATTTGTAGTAATTTGAAGTTTTCAAACAAAAATTGTCTGAGGGCTAGGAAAACTGAGCTGGCCAGAAACAAAGAGGATCTGATGTTTTAACAGAAGTGAATTTTTATCATGACAGATTATTTATTTGTTTACTCTTGAAAGTTGAGTACTAAGTACTACTGTACTTAGTTTTGATTCTTCACTCTTGGTACATAATAGGAGTAATTACTTTTGAACAATGAGTGACTATATAAATGAATGCCTACATTAATAGGTGAAAAATAAATAGATTTGGGGTAATTACTATGCATGGTCTCAAGCTTTCTACAATTTGTGGAATAACAGCTGACTCAGCTGTAACAGAGACTCCTAGGAAGTCACCCCTATATATGCATTTAGGCAAATGACCATGAGAAATCAAAGTGCCAAAAGATGCTGAAAACTACCAGGAATATATCACATGAACTTTTCATTACACCCCTTCCACAGCTTCATTATGCAAACTTCTCACATTCCAATTACCAACAGTTAGAGTATCAGTAAGTCTTTGTGATATATTTTATGATTAAGAAACCAAAAGGAGAGTACCCTTAAAGAGTGACTTTAGCATATTCAGTGATCTTTTTTGACCTCCCAGGGACTTTGGTGGAAAGTGAAAAGCACCATTTTTTTCACAGGTCAGGAATGGAATCCTGATGCATAATGCTACAGGATGGTTTCCTCTCTGAGTTTGTGGGCATTAGGCCAAGTGAATGTGCAGGAACCATTCCATTTGCCTAGCAAAACAGGGTGAAAAGCACTTCTGGCACACTTCGTCCATATAAATTAGAGTTGTTTGCAATTCATCAACTCCTTCTCTCCTTCACATCCATATGTAACATAAATGATCATCTTTCTCTGAGGCTCCATAATGATGCACAACTTTCAAAAAGTAATAGAATCAGCTAAAAGAGAGCAGATGGAAGTTTTTTCCCTGATATGAATATTCATAAAAT